GCGTCATACTGTTTTCTAAAACGTGTTTCCAAATTTGTATGGAATGGCAAACTGTTGGGGGGTCGGTTTGGGGAGGGAGGGTTTGCATGAGAGAGACACACACGCACACCACACCGCTCGCACACGCAGGCCCGACGCGGGCGTCCGGGGACAGAAGGAGGCGAGTCTACTGGCTCCTCCTCTCTACAGGCACTCCCGTCCCTCTTAGGGTGAGGTGGAGGAGCCCAGACCTGGGGGCAGCCCTACCCTTGCCCGGACTGTGCCTCGGTGGGCGCCGAACTCCTGGTGACTTCTGGTGGCTGGAGAGGTTTTTTTGTTTGTTTGTTTGTTTTGGTTTTTTGTTGTTGTTTTGGGGGGATTTTTGTTGTTGTTGTTGCTTTTGTTTTGTGTTTTGGTTCTAGGCTCCTCCTGACTTTTGTCATCCAGTGAGCTAGGAGAACTGAGGGCCCCTTCTGGAGATTGCCGTCAAAGAGGCAACAGGTGAACCTCTCCGCCCCAGAGGCAGGGAATCAGGCACCCAAACACTCAATGCAAAAAAACAAAAAAACAAAAAAAACAAAAAAAAAACCCGCAAACCCACAGGCGACACACCCCCACACACGCAATTTTACCTTCCTCTTGTAGCGAAGATGAAACTCCCGTCGGACACCCGAAGTGCATTGCGTGTTTCTGTTGAGTTTAATGACGATTAATAAATATTTATGTAAATGAGATGCAAAGCAGACCCGCTTTCTCACAGTGGCCTCCTTTTATGGGTGGGAACAAGTATTGATCTGGGGCTGGGGTGATGGAGGCTATGTGGAGTGACTGTTCAGAGGTTTGAGAGAACGGCTGTGGACATTCCTGGGTGGGGTTTCCAAACTGCAAAACCTTCACAACACCCAGTGGGCTCCTAAACAGTCACACTTGCTGCCCCTCCTCTACCCCACCCAGATTCACATTGGCGCCCAGCACAAAGCACTCCTGTGATCTTCTTATATTCATTCAGCTGCCAAACACGCTCAAGGATCTTCTTTGAAAACAAAACATCTTTTCATCAATGAAAAATTATCAAAATGGGACCATCCCATCATTTTACAACCCTCTGCTTCCTGTAACAAAAAAGCAAGTGAATGCAAAAAATCGAGGCAGACATGGACATTCTTGAATTAAAAAAAAATAAGAACATGAGGATAAAAATATTAATTTTCTACCTTAAATTTATGTTTCAGTGGGCTCAAAGGAATGGACTCTTCTGGCATCAGGGATCTTGATATTTTAGGAGTATGAATAGTCTATGAGGTGGCTGAATCTGGAGAGGGACCCTGGTTAAGATCAAGACCTAACCATGAGCAAAAGGAAACAGCACCAATTAATACCTGCACGGCCTGGCCTCCTTGCCTGATTCGGGGGAAGGAGAAAGAAAGCAGGCTCAATGCAAAGCGAACATAAAACTCTTTCAGATCTCACTTTTCCTCCTAGTATAACCCCTAGAGGTAGGAGCAGACTTTCCACAAAAAGATTCCTCCTCCCTCTGAAATATTTGAAAGGGAGTCTGGGTCCTAAAAACTCGAATCTTAAAACCTAAGGAGACTTAGGAATTTCTTAAAGAAACTGTCCTTGGTGCCCCCCCCCTCCCCTCAAAACACCATCACTCACTTTAGGATTGAAGTGAGGTTGAGCTAAAGGCTCCGAAATGACCAGGGAAGAGAAAGGAGAAAGTCTGAATGTCAACTGTTCTCATCGACACCACTAAGTGCCCACACTTATTTTTTTTTAGTCTTCTGAGTAAAAACAATGCGCTCTCCCCAACCCCCTCCCCCCTTCACAGGCGTGGGGACAGGCCGGGAGCTGTCCACTCCACAGTGCTGACCCGTATTTAACATTTTCCTTTCTTGCTGCCAAAGGAGGCCAGCGCCTGGGACTGCAGAGCAGAGCCCATCGGAATTCTCTTGCAGGGAAACTTCCTAGGAGACTTTCATTGTTAATTCTTTAAAAACCTTCACCATGTTCTCTGGATTTCTCTCAGGCCCATCTCTCTAAAGTAAGAGTGAGCCCTTTGTCACTGGGATTCTTCCCTGTGGGTGGCTAATGAGATCGAACAGACCTCACTTGTATTCTTTAGAGAAAGATTTGGTCCATCTTCTCTGTCCTCCACTTCGGTGGGGAGTGGGGAGCTTGAAGGATGCACGTTCTGACTCTAACCTTAGGAGCTGGCCTGGCAGGGGCATTTGGAAGAAAAGGAATTCATCCCAGGGTTTGATCCTTATCTTGCCCTGGAAGCAAGGTTAATTGGGCTTCTCTCCCACTCAGCTGGTTTCCCAGAACTTGCTCTGAACTCCAAGCTGGGCAGGATCCAGGTGGCTTGGGGCCGGATGTAAAGGACCCCTCTACGTGGCTCCCCTGGTGAGATCACAGACTCTTCCAGCTACCCCACACTGTTTCATTCTATTTTGAAGACAGACTGCAGCCTCATTTGAAAGATGATGATGACTCTGGGGTCATTGCATCTATGGGTCAGGCCATGTGGGGTTGCAAGGACCCTTTTGGGGGGCAGGGACACACTGGAGCCCCTGCTTCTAGAGAGTCCCTTCAGCTGCAGCCAACTCCAACTCCTGACTTTCTCCCATGCTCCCTGCACTCTGGCTGACTCTAGCCTCCCACCACCATCCTCCTCCCCAACACAACACTTAACTGCCCTGGTGAGATGGCAAGATGAGCAGGAGAAGAAGATGTGCATGGACACTCGGCCCCAGACGCCCCCTCACAGATCTCTTTCTCTCGCTTGGCTTGCCTGCACACACATCCAGAGAAGCACTATGAACAGAAGGAGGGGGGAGGTGAAAGGGCGCTGGCATGGCTTGGGGCAGGGTGATGGGCAGGAGCAGAAAGTATAAAGAGATATCTCTTCATCCCTAGCCTAACTGAGCAGCAGGCTCTCCAAGCATTCTATACCCTGCTCAAAACAACCCCTGGGCTGTCCAGCCGATGACTATAGCCAGGTTCAATCTGGAGACTATTTTCCCCTTGATTTTTCCAGCTCCCATCCCATGCCCAGCATTTGAAAATGGCAGAGAAACAGAGATACCCATTTGCTGATCTGGTAGTGATAGGAAAGGAATGTGCAGATTTCTCCCCTCACCATTGGATTCCATCCCAACCACCACCTGGACCGTGAGTCACTGCCCATCAGTGAAACTCCAGCTCTGATTTTATTACCTAGGGTAATGACAGGATGAACCACTGGGGGAAGCAAGAAAGCTGAGTCCTACTTGGATCAGCGACTGGGAAGTCTTCCACTCTAGACACTCCACAAGGGTGTGCCAGCTTGTTTCACTCCATAAGTCCATAGCCACCAGATGCAGGATCTGTGGACAAGGTGAGAGATTTCATTCTCTTTCGCCTAACCTTGACTTCCTCCTCTTCCAGGAACCTTTAACAGGAAGTCAGGTGCTCCTGGAAGCTCCTGATCATGGATCACTGGGGACTGCAGGACTAAGTGTGGCTCTAGATCCCACAAATTACTTTTCCAGGTAGAAGGAGTGAAAGACAACACTAGTCACACCTGGCCAGCCTCAGTCTTGACTTCCACCCACCCCCAAGCCCCCACCTTATGACAACAGAGTGCCAGGGCCGCCCAGGGCTCCATTCTGACCTGTGTGAACAGTTCAAAGGGAAAAGCTTCTTGCTTACAGGGAGTGAGTGGAGACAGAGCCTGCACAGCCAGGACAGGCTCCCAGACGCCAGTCAAAGACACACGCTGTTTTTGTTTTGTTTCTTTCTCTCTCCTGAGATTGGGTAACCAGGTATTGGCCACTGGCCTACTGTGAAGGTGACACCTGGACTCTGAAAAACCTGGAAGCCCTGCCCTAGCCCCCTGGTTCTGCATATTAATTTATTTTTATTATTTTTATTTTTGTTTTGCACCTGAGCCTTCAAAAATTCTCCACAAAGCTTCCCTAGGTGAGCAGCCTTAGGTGGAGGTGCTGCTGCCTCAGGAAGACTGTCTTGCTGTTGAAACTTTATTCTAAATCACCAGGTTCTGAATGGCAGGCCTTGTACAGACGGAGAAGGAC